GAAGGTCCGTGTGCCCGAGGGGAGTCAGGCTTGGCCTGCCGTGCGGACCTCTCCCAACACCCATTTCTTGTCCCCCCAGACCTCGGCCCCCTGACCAGCACCTCCCCGGGACGTCTGGTGAGGACCAGCTGCCTCCCCTTCCCCGTCCCCCTCCCTGCAGCGAGGGCGGGGTCCAGGCTGCACCCCCCACCCTCTTCTCAGCTCTCCGCCTCTGCCTCTCTCCCCTCATGCTGTCCTCTCAAGGCCTTGTCTGGGAGGAAGTTCGACTACAGGGTGTTCGCCGCCCTGCCTTCTTCCAGGCCTGTCTATGACATGCAGGTACCAGGCGCCTGGCCCCTGTGGACAGGCCGTAGCTGCTGCCACCTCCGCCTGGGCCTCCCCCGCCCTGTCCTGCCTCCAGCACCTTCCCTGTCTCTCTCTCTGGGGCCAGACCTGCTCCTTGGGTGGTTCCAGGAAGGTCTGGGCAGAGCCTGACGCAGCCCTTTCTCCACACAGTCCCCAGATTTTGCAGAGGAACTGAGGTCCCTGGAGCCATCTCCCAGCCCTGGTGAGTTGCCAGGCCCCGTGGGAGGGGTGGTGCCCGGGCCCCTGGCCCCTCCCTCACTCCCTCCCCTGCCTCTGCCCACCAGGCCTGCAGGAGGAGGATGGAGAGGTGGCCTTGGTGCTTCTGGGCAGGCCCTCACCAGAGGACGTGGCCCTGTGCAGCAGCCGCCGCCCCCTGCGGCCAGGGCGCCGAGGCCTGGGCCCAGTGCCCTCCTAGAGGGGTGGGTCCCTTCCCCGGACTTGGGGTGGGGGCCCTGCCAGCACCAAGACCACCCTTGCCCCAAGTCTTTTAACCTGGGTGTTAGCATTTTAGAGACCCCTCAGGAGTTCTGGCCACCGACTAACAGCTCCCTCCCCAGCCAGGACCTCTTGGCAAGACTGTAACTAGTGATGTTTGTACAACCAAAGACTCTATTTTGTGGTTTAAGGAAAATAAAATTGACTACGTTTTACCTTCTGGCTGCCTGTCTCTACACACCCACGCCCACCCCTTCTGCCCTCCAAGGCTGGGGGCCCTGGGGCGGGTCACCGAGCTCCCCGGTCTCCCCCACACTCTGCTGCTCCCCTCTGGAGGGACTGGTTGGCCCGCCCACCTCCAGGCAGGAGCACCCCCAAGTCCTGCAAACCAGTGTCCTCAGGCTGGGCTCCCACTGGCCAGGCGTCTGGACCGCGCACTGCTCCCTCCCGCACGGGCGCAGGCACAGCGGTGGTCCCGGGCTTTGCTTTATTGGTGCTAAAGGCCTCCGCTGGGCAGCTGGACCTGCACCGGGAGCAGGACCTGCAACTGCTCAGCCGGGGGCCACTGAACCTGGGTGACAAAGAAGAGGCGGAACTGCTCCAGGCGGGACTCCTGGAACTGGGTGGGGCCGTACTCCGGCCCGTCTGTGGGCCTCAGGGGACGGGGCGGACCCCGTGTGCCCCAGCTCCCACCGCCTCACCTGAGCGCCCCCAGAAGCGCCAACCGAATCCTCTCGGGCCGCATGTGGTCTGGGTTCACCGTGTCCACGTAGTTGGTGTCCTGGTAGCGCAGGAAAGCGGCCGCCTGGCCTGAGGGGTCGATGACAAGAGGCCACCTGGGGGCGGCCATCCGGTCACCGCTGTTGCCCGAACCCTCAGCTTGGCCCTCGCCCAAGCCGGGCCACTGACCGGCCGTCGGCGCGGATGCGGTCACCCACGTCCTTCATCAGCACGTCGTGCAGCTCGGTGACCTGGCACTTCAGCCCCGGCAACTCCTCCTCCCCTGCGGGGACAGAAGGGGGGCAACCGGAGCTCCCAGCGGGTGCCCCCCTGGGCCTGGCCTCTCCAGCCTCCA